AATCAAAGGCTGCCAAGAAGCTATAAGGAATATGCATGTTAGAAGCTCAATGCTTTTCTTGTAGCAAGGCCGGCTGAACCCTAGCAGAGGTCAGACACGTGAGACCAGGACCCACTCACAGTTTCCAAGCATTTATTTGCATAGTTGGTCTGCATCATCTTGTTTTTCAGCTGAAGGAGCTACAAAGAGTTTAATGAATGGTTGGTGGTGACTTAGGGAGAAATGGAAGGGGTGGGTGTTGTTCAGCATGAGGCAGGGAGGCCCAGCAGGGCTGGAGCCCATAGTGGAGTGAGACCAGAGCCAGAAGCTGAGGAGCTGTTGACACAAGAGAATGTTGGATCGTTAGACCTAAGCAGAGCAGGTTTGGGAGTCAGAATATAAAAAGCGGAACAGGGTGGGGTGAGGGTGTTGTCCTTTCCTCTGCAAGGAATGTGGTCTGGCTACAGCATGAGGAGGAATAGCAGGGAATACAGAGCTCTGTGACACTTTGCAGGTGGCGCAGGGGCCAAGGGGCAGCTTTGCGGAACTGGAAGACGGGCCCCCTAGTGAGGGCAGCGTCCTAAGGAGCATTTTCATCAGGAGCATTGCAGTGTTTCACTCTGAGCGGCGCCAAAGTCCCAGTCCCCTAAATGCATCCCCAGGCCACCAGAGGGTTCTGCAAGGCCTGGACCCCCCAAAACTCATGGAGGCCACACCCAGCAGCTCAGCTCCCTGGGCCAGGTGGGGCGGAGGCAGAGACTTGGGCTTCACACAGACATGTTCTCACACAGGGCACGGGTAGGGTGGCAGTTTCAAATCACCAACAAGCCATGTACCTCCAAGAGCTGCAAACGGTTTCTGAGCATACTTGATACATCCTGTGGACTCACCCCAAATAAGCAGAGAAGCTTTGGGAAAGGGGAAGCATAGGGAGCCAGAGTTATGCAGGTGGAGCAATCAGCTAGCAAAATTTGAGTGAAAATGTAATCTAATTGGCCCCCACAGGCTGGTGAGGCCTGGAGACATTTGGTTACATCCCTGCCAAGGAGGCTCAGGAAACAGGTTCAGACCTACTCAGCTGGGAAGCAATTAAGCACCAATGCCAAGGGGAAGCCAAAGGCAACTACAGGCAGAACAATGGCCCTGTTGTGGACCCAGCTTTCCGTGGGCTTTTGGGAGGGTGCTCCAAGCCTGCTGGCTGCACCGCTTCTGCACTTAAGTAGGCATAATTAACTAACAGATGCTAATGGTAATCACTTCTGCCTTGGGGCCACATTCTACATAAATTTACAAAATATGGAAAAGAGTTCCCTGCCCTGCAATGACACTGTAGCCCCAACAGAAAGGAGACCCAGATTGTCAAAAGGTCTATGGCAAAAGGGCTCCATTTCAATTGGGTCTGTGAGGTTGTCTATTGAGAAGCTAAATATATGTAATTGTCTTTCATATTACCAACAAAGGAATTTTGCTTTGTCTCTTGGGGGCAGGGGCTATAACTTGGGCATTCTTACATCCTCAAAAGCCTCACTGGGATCTTGCACATAGTAGGCACTTACCATCTGTTGCATGAAAGAATCGAATTCCAAAGAGAAATAAGTGTTCTTTCTGACTTGGGAGCTCATCTTCAGAGGTGACACCCTGGTGTATGGTGTGTCCTAATGACACAGAAAGAATCAGGTCCTTTCTCCCATTAATGCTCTCAAGAAAAATAAAACAATTCTGCTTAAAAAGGGCTGAGTTCCAGGTAAAACAAGAAGTTAATGGAACAATTCTACCTTTTGCAGTGGTCCAGCCACCCCCACTCTAGAAAAGATCCACACATTGGGTTTCATCCTGTTGATTGGAAAGCTCATTGTGTGTATGGATATGGTAATGGGGTGTGTACGCCCACGTGCGTTTGTGTGCTGTGTTAACAGAAGGACAGAAACTATCACAGTCTACGGCCACAATGGTGAGCACTGCAAATGCCACAGCTAAGCAACTAGAATAAAAGTTCATCAATGGACAGGATAGAAACTTAAAAGCTGACCTAAAAGCAATGGGCTATGGCTGTAGTTGAGTAGCCCAGGGACCACCTGAATGGTCATAAAAGAAAGCCCTGGGTGAGTATGTGGTTAGGAGAGGCTGGTGTTGTGGCTAAACAGTATGATAATGGTCTCAGGATAGGCAGGTGTCTGCTGCAGGTCCACCTCATTTACCCCTCCTTAGATGGGCTTTCCTGGGGCCACTCAGCAGACCAGATGGTCACATTGGTTCCATGTGGAATCCAGGTGGCATTACCACAAACTCTGGGAAAGTCTACCTGTCTCAGAGTTAACTTCATAAATGGATCTCCCAGGAGTTTTCAGGTGAACTAAGACCATAGGATCGCAGCATCTTGGGGCTGTTTGATGCACTGTAATCATTCCTGTTGCATCACTACATCTGCTGTGACCAGAAAAGCAATGCATCCTTTTGGAAATGGGTCAGCCCTTAAATGGTAGCCCACCCTTTTCAAGAATTCAGGCGGCCCCAAGACCCTGACTTCAAATCCACGTGACATACGGAAGCCACACACCAGGGTTTCCTAGAATACCCTCACTCTCAGATATCCTGCTCCCTTGCTCCATGAAGACTTCATGGGTAGCCCTTGTCATGGTGTGGTGCTTGCTTTGGGCTGGGACTATATCACTGACCTAGTTAGAGAGCAAAACTGGGGTTCTTTCCATCAAGAGCTGCTTCTGAAATGATGGTGACTCATCGGTCCCCACCACCTTCAGAGCTGAAGGTGTATCATGGAGGAGGCGAGAGATTGCTGCCCAGACCCTGAGGGCCTGGGTTTAGGAATGAGAAGACCAAGTCAGACATGCCAGGAACAAACCAGAAGTCCTTAACCACTCTCCCTGAGCTGAGCCATGTTAAGCTTTAAATAAATTTAACCCAGGTTTTCTCCCACCACTTTTCATTTTTGCTTATTACTACCTGTTGGGCCAGAAGCGGAATGGTCAAAACATTTCCAGTGAGGCTGAATTTTCAGGGTATTGACAGTTAGCCTGGGAGCAGCAGGAAGCAGGATTTATAGATTTGTATGACCAGGCAGGCAATCTCCCAAGCCTCGGCATTTGGACTTGATTTTAATTAAATAAATGTCCAGGCTTTAGTGGGACGAGATCTCTGGAACCCTGGAGGATCTCCCAAATAAATTGAGGTAAGATCCTTAACCCAAAGGCTTTGGCATCCCCTAGGGAACACCAAACACACAGGTGGGCATTCTGGCAAGTGGGAAGGATGATTGCAGAGTGAAGTGAACTCCTGGGAGGTCAGCAAGGACTTGGCAGCGTAGAAGATTCTGTCACATCTACTACAAGAAGGAAAAGAGTCTTGCAGCCTGATGAGCTATTTCGGTAATGCTGAGGCAGTAGCCATCAGTGATAAAAAGCACGGCTCCTTCTGCTTGGGTTCAAATTTCAGCTCCGGCTGACCTTAGATGCATTACGTGAATTCTCTTAGTAAAGCTTCCCTGCTTTTAGAGGAAAGGAATTATAATTGCACCTCCATCAAAAGTTCCCATAAGTAAACCTCAAAAGGCTGCTGATTTAAGAGCCGTATCTGCATCTATCAGACCACAGCGCTCTTCTGCTCCAGACCCTCTCACGACTTCCTGCCTCACTGAGAGGAGAACCCAAGTGCTCTCCAGGACTTTCAGGGTTCTGTTTCCCCGTGAGCTCTCTCATCTTCACCACTGTCCCTGTACCCAGTGCTCTGGTCTCCCTGGATGGCATGCCTGCCATGCTCTGGCCCCTAGGCCTTCAAACTTGCTCCCTCCTCCTGAAATGCCCCTCACCCCAGGTTGGCTCCTCTAGAATTATTTAAGATACAGTGTCGCCTCCTTAGAGAGGACCACCCTGATGACACCGAATGAAATAGCCAACACTTTCCCAATGCTCACTGAATATTTGGTGAATGAGAAACAGCACGCTCTCAGCTTCCTCCCAAGGTCTCCCAGCTGCTGCTAGGTGTTTGCCTCCAGAGTCAGGAGGCTTGTAGATACACCCACAAAGACAGCTAGCATCTGTCATCCCAGGTGCCCACTGGCCCATGCTCCTCTCTCACAAAGCTGTGGGGAGCCACTCTGCCACCACCCATCTTGGGGGTCAGGTTACCTGCTCCTGAGGCCTGCTGTTCTCAGGGGCCAGAAGAGTCCTAGGTGCCAGCCAGACAGGGCAAGAGCTGCTTTTCCTGGGCCCTGAGGCAGCTCATGGACCACGCCTCACCTCCCTGAGGTTTTTTTTTTTTTTTTTTTAGTATCAAAGGACATTTCTATTTTTTATTTTAATTAGTATTTTAAATTAAAGAAATCAGACCTAAACCGTTGTAATGTCTATACCTTGTCTCTGTTTTTGGTCATGCTGCCCATTTGATAAACAGCCATGTGTAGTTGATACTTTGTTGTTTTTGCTTTAATATCATAGACAAAACTGGCACACTCCTCCCTGAGGTTTATTGAGCGGTTTTTATCTGCTTTAGCTATCTGCCCTGTTATGAGTTCAGAGTCCTCCAAGCTAGATGAAGAGTGAAGAACAACAAGTCCCACCATCTTCCCTACTTTGTTCCCTCCTCCAGCAGTTTCTTCCCAATTCTCTCTCCAAAAGGAAAGAAAAAAAAGCTCTGTGCATCTGGTACGTACAGATACCAACAGGTGAAAACAGATACCAAGAGCAGGAGTATACGTGCGACGAGCGAGAAACAAGGGTGCTCCAAGGGGACTCATAGTGCCCACGCGGTGCCTTTATGTGCATTAGGAAAGAAGGTGCCCTTTTCTCCCTGTCCTACTCAATTGTCATAATAAACAGACAAATCCACAATGTCAACAATAAGAGCTGTGTTGACCCACGTGTTCCCCTAGGCAAGTTATCTGAATTAAGTCAGCACCTTCATGCCAGGGCCTGGCACCCTGAAGGCCAACTCTGGCTTATTCAGTTAATGAGGCCCATCAACAGCAGGAGCACAGGGCACAGTCTGGCCCTTCCCACAATACTTACTCATTCGCAGATGATCTAGCTTCCCAGCGTCTCTCTCTTAATCTATGAAATTGGAGCAAGGACATTGTGAGTGGCAGGAGGGTCCTGCCTGGTTCCCAGGCCACCCCCAATTCCCTTTCAGTTGAGAAATGATCATCTCACCCGGAGCCAGCTGCGATAAAAGCATAAGGCAGAGTGCAGGCTGGGTAGGCCTAGTGCTGAGACTGGCATTTTCCCTCTCCTCCAGGCTCTGCCAAGGAGCCAGCAGGGAGGGTTTAGGTCACGCTGCCGAGAAGCTGGCAGCTCCTCTCCCATTCCACTGCACCCAGCCTCACCCACAGCACAGGCCACTTCAGACCTGACTCCTAGGGCTAGAAACTGGCAGTTTGAGAGGTCAGACTGTTTGCAATGTTCTGTTTGTTTTGTTTGAAGAAGGGCAGTCCAGCTATGGGGCTAAGCAAAACCACATTACCCTGGGATGGCTTTGTGCACAGAGGACCAAGATTTAAAGCCTCTGCTTTCTTCCCAAACAAACAGGCCAAGCACTGGGGTGCTCCAGGCAGAGCCCACTGCCTGCCCACTCATGCCAGGCCACCCCAGGCCACCCGCTGTCCACATCCTGTGCTTCATTTCTCTCTGCCAGAAGCTGCCAGGAGAAGCTGAATAGAGAGAACTTTCAGCCGAGGTTTTAAAGTGGTTCCTGGTTTAGCACGTCCTGACCTCATGACATGGTAGATGTGGCACTAGCAGTGGTCAATTGAGCCATCTCTCTGGTCCCGGGCCTGGCTGCACCAATGATGCCATCTGCACCACCTAACTCTCTGGACCTTCCACTCTGCACCCAGAAGACAGGGAAAAGAGCAGTCTCCTGAGTGATGACACACACCAAGACACACAGGAGAGAAAATCATGAGAGTGAGCAAGATAACAAGACTCAGAATATAGCAGAAATGAGACCAGTTATGACCAGTGCTCCTGAGTGAAGAGGGGGTCTGAATCCTGACTGGAATCCAATTATTATCAGCATGACATTGGGCAAGTTACTTAATCTCTCTTATACGAAGCCTCAGATACCTTACTTATGAAAAGGAAAGAATAACATTTACCTCACTGTACCAGTCTGGGTCCCAGCAGGAGACAGAAATGACACCAGTTCTTTCAACAGAAGGAATTAAATATAAAGGGTTGTTAACAGGGTACAAAGTTGTTAACTAGGCAACTGAAAGTGTAAAAAGACACAACTAAGGTATCACTGAGGTAGCAGCTGGGAGAGGTAGCAACCACCCTTGGGGCTGGGAGAAAAAAAAGGAAGGCTCTGGAATTATTAAAATTTAGAAACTTAAGAAGGGTTCCCACAGGGTCGGGACTCACGCCCCTGAGGAGAGCACTGCTGGGCTGGCACTGGGGTCTCTGAGCAGGCGTGACGAGCCTGGTTCTGTGAATGTTGATAAAACAGCAAACTGGATTCGACTATGCTGCTGGCATGAGCTCCGCGGCCAGGGCGAGGAGGAGACGTTGCTGGGGAGACACGAGAATAGGAAGCAGACAAGCAGCAGCAGGCCCCTTCTTCCTCCCACAGCCTTGCAGCCTCCCTCTGTGGCCCCTGTTGGCAGAGCCAAGCACGAATCAGCTGACAAAGCAGAAATGGGATTTGCACAGTCCCAGTTTCAGCATCGCAAAGCAGGGTATAGAGGGCTGGGTCAGGAGCTCAGCGACATTAACGTAACACATGGCCCATTCACAGTTAGGATTAAATGAAAAAAAAAAGTGTATAACATGCTTAGCACAGTGCCAGACACATAGTAGATGCTAAATAACTATTATCATCATCATCATCATCATCACCATCCTCCTCCTCATTATTATTATGATAGATTAGTGGCCTTGGCAATTAGACAGAAGATATGGCAGGCTCTGTGATGGGTTGATTGTGAGAGTGGAGATTAATTTCTGGATTCTTTTTTGGAAGGTTCACAGATTTAAAGTATAATGCAAAGGACAAACGTGCTATCAAATAGTAGGAAGTCTGTAAATTCGTCACATGAATTGGATCTCTAAAACATCCACCCACCTTCATTCCTGCAGCCCTGCACTAGGTCAGCTCCCCTTCACCGCTTCCTCAGATTCGTTAATTCCCTTCTCCCGCCTTTAGTCCGTGTAACTCACCGCCACAACTCCACTATGGTCTCCCTCCCGACTACTGTCATCTCATTACACTCCCATCACCTACAGATTAAAGGCCAAATTCCTGTGACTAACATTTAACACAGTCAGTGACCTGGTTTGGGAGTCGCAGAAATGCTACTTTCCATCGGATCTAGTGCCATCCTCCCCTTACTAGGGTTAAATTTAAAAAGTGAGGAGTGGGGAGGAAGTCAGTTGGGCCTAACACCTAAGGGATCTCCCTTCAAAAGGCCTAAAGTCAGCTCACATTCCGAGTGTCAAGAACAGGGTTAATGACCGCTTTGCATCCTCCCTGCCTCTAAACCTTTAATAAGGTCCTCACCACTGCTGAGGGAATGTCCTAATGCCCTGAACTCATGAGGTGCTGCTTTCCTCTTCCTCCTTAAATGAGCAACTCCCTTCTCTCTCTTTGTTCTCTTTACTGGAGTCTTCTTCTTTTACAGTTATCTGTATCAGTCAGCTAAGGCTGGAATAAGCTGTGATAACAAATAATTCCAAAATCTCAGTGGGTTACAATGACAATTTTTATTTCGTATACATGTGAGTATTGGCTCTGGATCAAAGGCAGGTCTAGCAGACTTCCTTTTCACTCCAGTATCTAGGCTTATGGAGCAGCTCCTCTGAGGAAAATTACTAGTTTCATGACAAAGGGAAAAGGGAAGTTAGTGGGACCTCGAAGTAGCTCTTAACGCTTCTGTTTGGAAGTAGCATGTACTATTTCCACCCACACTTCATTAGCCAAAGAAAGCTACATGGCTTCTGAGTTAAGGAGGATGAGATGTATGATATTCATTAGGTTAAGGGAACTGTAAGTCACGTGACCAAGCTTGATATCAGTGGTCATGAATGCATAAAATGAGTATCTTGATCAATAAGACAATCTAACGTATCATCCTAATCAAGGATCCTATCGCCTCACACCTGGATTATTAAATCCTTGGGGATGATGGATTCTAATTTAGTCTAGCCTCGAAGGAAAGGTTCCCATAGATTCTTTTGGATGTCTCTGCCTCCAGTGTATCCATATTGCATCAACAGTAGAGTAGTTGCCATGATGTTATTTCCTAAATGCTATTATCACCTTGTTCATAATGATAATATGTCGTTCCCTTGTTCAGAACCTTCAGCATCTCCTTATTGCCAATCAGTTCAAATCTAAATTCTGCAGCCTGTTGTTCAAGGCTTCCATCAACTGATCCTCCCTTTCAAGTCCTATTGCCTATTAGCCCCAACTCCTCAGATCCAGCCAGGGGTCATGCTTTTCTTCATAACTCCTCCAAGATTTTGATTGATGTTAACCTTTCCTTGTGCTTCTTCTTGGCTCCTCCCCCACTGTCATTTCCAACCGGTTTATGTCCTTCAATTTCTTTAAGAGTTGTCTCAAATCTCATCTTCAAAAATGTCCTTGAATAACTTTCCTACACTCCTACACTTCTCACAATTCAGAATTACAGCTCTATGCTCTTGTTTTTATTTTCTGCTTCTAGAATTATTGTGTATTGCTGTGGGAAAAGACCTTTGGGATTTTCTACCACACATATATACCACCTCCTTTGAATTTAGGTATGAGAAAATTGAGACCTAGGAAAAGAAAGAGAAGGAAAGTCATTAATTTATAGAGAGGTTAAGTTGGGAGGAGAATTGAGTCTTCTAACTCTTTGTTACTATTTTTTCCCCATATCAGTTTGCCTCTTTTAATTTATATCTATTTGTCTAGCTAGATGATAATCTACTTTAGAGTGGGGGTGCCTCATTATATTTTCTGTTATACAAGATCCTTAACATATATTATTTCTAATTCTAACAACAACCTTGCAAGGTAGCAATCATTCTTATTTTACCAATAAGAAGACTAAAGGTTAGATAAGCAAGTTAAAGACCCAAGGCCAAATAATCAATAAATCGCAAAGCCAGGGTTTATTGAATGTGTACTCTGTGCTTGAAATTGTGCTAGTTCTCACTGCAAAGAAATCAAAATATAATATATTTAAAAAATAAATGTCATGACTTCAACATAGTTCATAACAAATCCTTAATGAGTACTATATTCAGGGCTATGGAAATTCATGTAGGATAGGCATTGTGGCCAAAGTACTGGGAAGGAGATTGGACTAGAGTTTGGCAATTAAGGATGCACAGGATATGTATAATCTAAGCAGACATGGTGGGTGGGTATAGGCATTTCCAATGAAGATAAGGGAGTGAGCAGAAACTGATAAAAATGGATTGTTAGGAAATGAGGAAAAATTGTTTGGCAAAAGCCATAGTTTTTATAGGAGGGTCTAGCACAATAAATTATAGCAATGGGGCAAAGTTCTAGAAGGCTTTGAATGCTGGGTATTTGGTATGTATTCTGTAGGTTATGGAGAATCGTCCAAGATGGCTAACCTATAAAAGTAGTGTTTTAGCCAGTTGTGTTATTTGTGAGTAGAGGAAAATGAACTGGGAGAGGAGAGACTCCTTAAAGACCTCAGAAAGTGGATTAAAGATTACTTTAATCACCTACTCTTGAACTGAGAAGTCTGGCATGGGGGTGAGCAGGGTTGGAGGGTGATGGAAATCTTATTATTGGCACAAGAATTATTGCTGTTGTTTGTGGAAGTGGGAGTTGGAAAAGTGAAATGTAAATGTATTAAGTTGCTGTCCAAAAGCAGACAGTCCTGTTGTCCAGAAAAGATGTATGGAAGTTAAGGGTACAAACGCTAATCAAAATTTGAGATGGGGAGAGGGAGATTCTGAGAGAGTTAAAAAGCTTTATGCCCCCAATTCCATCCTACCTTTCACATGGTCTTCAGTGGTATGCTTCTTACATATGTTCTTTAATATTGTTCTTTTCTTTCATAAATTAACCCACAGTTTAGTGAGCATCCACAGGAGGCTAAATGTATGCTGCTTTTTTTTTTTTTTAAAGATTTTTATTGGGGAATTGGGGGGATGGGAACAGTGCTGGGGAATCAGGGGAAGAGGAACAGACAAGGTGCTGTCGTCTTGCTCTTCAGTCTAGTTGTGGAGGACGTTGCTTCACTGGCCCAAGTTGGCACCAATATCGTGCTCTTCCCGGGTGAGGCAGATCAGTCGCCGGCTTCTGGAGGCGGCTGCTGGCCGCTCACGCTG